GTTTTACACTTCTGTCAATTTGAATTGGATTTCTATCTTGTAACCAAGAGTCTGACTGGTATAATCAAAGATGGGCGGAGGTAATGCCATTCTAACTGTTTCAGGTGTTACAATTCCCTTGGACAACAGACTCGGGGCTCACAAATAACACGGGGTGGGCTCAGGGTCAAGTTCTAGCCAGAGAGCAGGCGGGTGATGGGATGTGGCCCTAGCATCTCCTGTTTTAACTTAGAAACACAGAGTCCATGCCTGCAGAGAACCGCTCCCTCACACGCTACTAAGGGGGCAGGCTGGGCTGAAGGTGCACCAGAATCTATGGAAGCACCAACTCCCTTATCCTGGGATTAGAACCATCAGGGCTGAGTGAATTTCATACTGGTGGCACCTGGGATAGTTGCAGTTTGGTTTCCGGATTGAACGTCTCTGGTCTGGCCTCTGACCTGCTGCTTCCGTCTTTAGCCCAGCTGTCTACCTCTGAGCTGGCCCTGGCCACTCACCGACCTCCCACTCCCCGCCCCAGCCTCAGCTGCCTCCTCCATCAGTTGTTCATCCATCACTGTTCATTCCCAACAGGTCGGAGGGATATGGCACAGCCCTTTGGCAATGGGGATGCTAGGAACGAGCTAGGAGGTACAGAAGTGTAGGTTAGGGCTTGGACCCCAGTCAAGGACCAGTGATGCTCAGGTCCTTCTTCACCCAGGAGCATGCCCACCCCGCTGGTAAACACTGGCCTGGACGGTGTTGACCCCTCCCCCCTCCCCTACCACCCCCACAGCCATCGTCCTGAGCCTGCTTCTGTGTCTCAGGCCTGGGCAAGATCTCTCCCTCAGGACTGTGACGGTGCAAGCAATGCCTCTAGAATGACTATCAAGGCTGATAACAATGGAACCAGGGACACACACACACACACACACACACACACTGCCAGGTAACATTCTTCACACATTCCATGCATTGATCCTAATGGCCTCATCTGATAAGTACTAAGAACCACCTGGTATCCACTGAGCAGAAGAAGAAACGGAGGCTCAGAGTTGCATGACCTTTCCACGCCTGCACAGCTAGTGGGTGAACGAGTTAGGATTTGCATTCAGGCCATGTGGACTCCTAAGCTACCTGCTAAACCTGCCCTGCCTTGCCCTCCCTGGCTAACATTCCACAGGTGAGTCGCATCCATGTGGCATGAACCACCTTCTGCATCATCTACGGCTTCACTGTGTCTGTTCCCTCCAGTGGGTTCCTCTCCCTTCTGATTCCCAAGCTAGGAGTCTAGGACACCCTCTTGACCTCTCCTTCCTCACTGCCCATGGCCAAGAGCAGCCGGGCATTCTTCTCTTCCTTGGCGGGACTGTCTCTCTCCTGACGCTCACTCCTCCTGCCCAGGGCCATCCGAATGGGGGGGGGTCCTGATGGCTGACTTGCCTTCAATCTCGTCTAGCTGCCGTCGGACACCAAGCTTGGTAAAGTAGAGGAAGAGTCTCAATGAATGGGTTGACACTGCGGTCCCAACAATGGGCGCAAACCTAACAACCCCAGTCAGGAGGGCGCAGGACTGGGCAGTGTGATCATCTGTTGTACGCGCGGTCGCTGTCAGAATGGACTGAACAATACCTACTCCCTCCGTCCCCCCTGAAGCCCAGTCTCTGCACTGCCACCATCATGCTTGCTCTATACTCGACCTGGCTCCCAATCACTCTCACAGCTTTAAACTCTGGAAGCCGCTGAGTGTGTCCTGCAAAGGTCATCCCGAGCAGGGCATTCGACGCCGAAGCGCACCCATCTCGCACCGATTCATGTAACAAAAGGCATCTGTCCCCGGGCACGCCAGGCTCTTGGGGTCTCCACTGCGACCCCCAGAAGGTGGGTTGCAGAGAAGCCCCAGTGGAAGAGCGAAGGGTAGGAAATGCCTCTGACACATCACCAGGACTAAGATGCAAGGGCTCTGAGACGTAGACAGGAGGCGCTGGAAGAGTGCGCTCCTATTTGTAACAATCCATGGGGGCCATCATTTTCCAGGACATGTTGCAAGGGGGAGGCTTGGCTTTCAGTGGTGATGTGAATGTGAGGTGATGAGGGTAGCTGTGAAGACAAGAAACAGCAGGTGGGGGCCATCTTCTGGGAGCAAGATGGCTTGATGGGACCCCCTCCAGAGTTTATCTCCCCAATAACCCCGTGCGAGGCAGTCTCTCCCCTTTTACCAATTGGTTCACCAGGGGCGGACCCAGTTCTGGACTAACCATCTCACTTGGCAACACAGCGAATTCCTAGCCCATGCATGCCCCTCTAATTCAAACTCCCTGGAAATGTGAAACAGGGCAATGCTGCCCATTGAGTGATTTTCTATCTCAAAACATACCCTGCTTTTGCCAGTGTGCATGCGTGTGGCAGTATCCGTTTCTAAGTTAGGTGCCCTAGAAGCACAGCCAGGTGTTCTGGGTCCTGTGGCCAGGCTTCTCAATCCCAGACCCTGGTGGCTCCTGCAGCAGCACCAGTCAGTGGGCCGGGCCCGGCACAGTCTGACTTGAGTCACGAGAAAGCTATGGTAACGTACATGCAGCAAACACTCTCAAGGGTAATTCTTTTCACTCACTCAGGCTGGTCCTCGAGTGAGTTCAAATTAATGCGATAGCCCCATGCTCTGTGTCTCTGCTGTACCACAAGCCCGCTGGCACAGCACCACAAAGTGTGAGAGCGGACAGGGGCCTCAGACAACGCTTTGTCTAGGGATGGCAGAAAAAGATGGCACGTTTGCAACAGTCTTCTCTCTAGAGCCCTAAGCAGACATCACTAATCAAATGTAGCATAGTCTTTCCTGGATTTGCCTCAGAATCCTTCTCAACACTGCCCCTGGTAGCAAGGACCAACTGATCAGAATTGGCAGATGGAATCTATGTGGTATCTCCGGTTTAGCCCAATCACCTCATTTTAAATGAGGTCGGGCAGATTTGAGAGAAGCCACATGACCGGCCCATTCAGTAGCAGAGCTAAGAGTTTGAACCCCTTTCTTTTAGGCGCGCTGGGCTGCTAGATCGTTGTTTGAACCGGAGTCATTTCCCACATCCAGAATCGGAATGAGGGCTGATCTTTACCCAGCACTTACTGTAGCTGAATCAATTCCCTGGAACTGCACAGCCACCTATGAGGGCATTACTGCCACTGTGCCCATTTAGCAGATGGAGAGACCGAAGCAAAGAGTGGTTGGCAACTTACCCACGATCCTATAGCTATTGAAAGGACCAGGCTTTGACCCTGGGCAGTGTGACCACACAATCCCTGGGTGGGGCACACAGCCAAGGAACTCAGCTGCTGGCTGGAGGGTTGGCGGTTCAGCCCACCCAGATGGGTCTTGAAAGAAAGGCCTGGAGGTTTGCTTTTGAAAACTCAGCCACGGAAGAGCCTGTGGAGCCCACGGTTCTAGGCCCACCCACGTGGGGGTCGCGGGAGTCAGAGTTGACCCCAGGATTGGGGGAAGTCTATCTCTAGCTCTGCTCAGCTACCGATGACGAAACTCCTTCCCATCACTTGCTCTTCCAGTCAGTCAACAGCCATTTGCTGCACACCTACTATGTGCCAAGACGTGAGGAGGGCGTAAAGACACAGCCTCAGTCCTCCAGGCCCCTCTCCCGCTTGCTGCCTTGCCAAGGAAGTGACAAGTCAGGGCTCCAGTTCACTGTGCAGACCCTCTACTCCCCCAGCCTGACTCCACATTCGGGGCTCTTTAAACCTATGTGTACATCAGCCCTCAACCCTGACACTCACCCAGCTGCTAGTGAAAGAAGACTGACTGGCCAGACTAGGGACAGAGACCCCGTAGCAAGAGCGCATTACTCAGACCCTCCACGAGAAACGACTGTCCCTCTGGCATAATCTCCCCATTTGGGTTGACAGTGTGATTCTGCTCATGCTCGGTGGGCCAGGTTTTGGGCGTGTGTGTATGTGTGTATGTTTGTGTGTGTATAATTAGCCCCACTCCTTCCAAAGAAAGGGGTTTAATTTCTTTGGAGAAACCATGATTCTCCCCCAGACTGTCTGCTGGGCCACACCCACTCTGTTTCTGGGGGGCCTCAGCGCCCCCTTCCATCGTGTTTCCTGCTAGACCATGGGCCACCCCTTGGTGGGCCGCTGGCTCTTCTGGTGTGGAGGAGGCCTCAGAGCCCCTGATCAAGACTCCCAACATGCTTTGTGCACCTGTCGCATGTATCCAGATGTTTGGGGTCAGGCACAGGTGGCCAACGGGAAACTGGTCAGAGGAGAGACCCAAGGCTAATCTCATCCAATGGCTTGCGAATGGCACAGGCAGAAAGGTCCACTTGCGGAGGCTCTCCCCAGGGCTGTCTCTCCTACTCTGGCCGCCCCCAGGATTGATAGATCACCACAGAACTGCACTCGGTCAAACACAGCTCTCCTCCAACACTACTCATCACCCAACAATGCTGTTATCACCTCTGCTTGAACTCTCCCAGCGACAGACAACTCACTACTTCTCAGCGATGTCTAGTTCATCTTTGTGGCAGTTTTCCCTGCAAGAACGTTTCCTTACACAACAGCTGCCCACCTTCTGCTTGCCTTGGACCATTCTTCCAACATCCCAGAAAGCTTTCTCACTTCCCTCCATCCTCTCCCCTCTTTGGGTGACAAAGTGGCGTGAACCATGTCCCCACCCCACCCCTCCCTAACCCCTGCTTCTGTGGCCAGAGGTTTCCAGAAAACAATCCCAAGCACATGCACTCTGACTGCCACGTCTGAGCTGCCCGCACCTGAGCAGGCGGTGGCCAGGGCTGCCACCTGCCGCCTCCTTGGCCCCTGGGAGAGGGACTGGCTCTATGGATAGCACGCGCACCTGGGTGCTCAGCACCTGCTGTTCCAGGCGGATCTGGATGGAGGCAGCCTCAGAGCTGCAAAGGACCCAGCTGCACACCCACGCCCCCCTCCCCATTCACCTCCTTTCCCTTCCTGAAACCCAACCCCACAGTCCACCCTCCAAACCCAGCACCACTCACCAGTCCCGTATCGCTTACATCCTGGGAATCTTTTTACTCCTGGACTCCGGGAGCAGCCAGTGCGTCAAGACCTACAAAGACAGAAACCCGATATGAAAAGCTGGGCCGAGGCCCTGGGCGTCCAGCTCCATTCTGAGTCACCGGGAGCCAGGAGGAAGGGGGGTGGTGGGGTGGGAAGTGAAAGGGCAAGGAAATGGGGAGACTCCCTGACCCCACACTCTTAGGCAGTTCCCGGGCTGGTGGAGTCTCTGAGGGCAAGAGAAAAAGACCCCAACCCTGGAGGACCGAGCAGCCCGGCCAGCAGCAGGCTTTGGCAGGAGCAAAGGGAAAGGCCACACCGACAGGGGAGGCGGAGGGGCAGTTCTCTAGCCTCACTCCCTCCAGTCCTCCAGGAACCTGGGGCGGCTCCGTGCCCACCAGGCTGCCCCTCAGGGTTCCATGCTGGGGAGGGGAGGGGTGAGGAGGGAGGGAAGCACTCTGCACTGGTGCCTCCGTCCTGAAAAAACAAAAGCCCCCAACGGGCAGTCATAGCCTGGGAGGCTCCCTCAAAGTCAATCCCAGTCTGCGGGCTTTGGAAACTCCTTGGAGGAGAGAGCCCACCCGCCCACCCCGGAGGGGGGGGGGCGTTTGCAGCAGGGCAAGTGGAGGCCTGAGTGCCCAGGTCTGAGGCCCACCAAGGAGGGCGCAGGCAGGGGTGCAACCAGGTGTGGCAGGTCCAATTCCCCATGGCCCTTTCCATCACCTGCTGTGAGATTGGGTCCCTGGTTAAAACGGAGACCTTTCATCTTTCAGGGCCAGTGTGGGCAGTGGTTCTCAACCTGTGGGTCGTAACCCCTTTCCCAGGGGTCGCCCAATTCATAACAGTAGCAAAGTGATGGTGATGAAGGAGCACTGAGAACAATTTTATGGTTGGGGATGGGGATGGAACTTGAAGCCGTTGCTGAGCAACTGTCGTCAGCAAAAGCAAGGAAGGCGCCGCTGAACTTTTCATGCCGCCATACGCATGGGGCCTTGTACTCTGAGCTGACACCGAACCGCAAACTGGCCCCCAGTCGGTTGAACTGCCAGCCACCCTACGGGGCAGAGAACAACTGTGCCCGTGGGCTTTCACGGCTGTGGACTTTTGAAGGGAGCCCAAAACCTCATCTTTCTTCCGGGAGGCGGTTCGTGGGTTGGAACTGCTGACCTGGTGCGGGAGCTGGGCTTCTGACTCACAGAGGCAAAGCTGAGGCCTCTGGGCTGAGGATCACGGGCGTGGGCCACGTGTGGGCATTCGGGGAGCTGGACTTGCTGACCACGGACGGGGAGCGAGTGCCTCTGGTGGAGGCTTATGGCAGAGCGGATGCCCTTGGAGCATTGATCAGCAGGCGCGGAAAGAAATTTGTAACCTGCCTGAACACGTGTATCCTGAACATTTCTCACCTGCATCCCGACCTTTCCACTTTCCTTAATCACGGGTATTGCCTGTGGGTTCTTTGCAGCCATTGAGGGGTATCGAACTCAGGATGTGGGACAGTAGTGTTGTGAATGACAGAATGCTTGGTTCTGGGTTCCTGCACATTGCGATAAAGACGGGTATCTGAAAGACGGGTGTCAGATGTTCGGTTGGACACGGGTAAGGGATGCCTCTTGGGGGCACTTGCAAACAGACCCTGCCCCGCCCAACCCACAGCTGCTCAGGTGAAATGAGCTTGTGTTTCCCTTAGAAGTCTGAGGTGAGCTGAGGTCTCTCTATTCAGACGTCCTGTTCCAGGAGGGTAGAACAAAAAGAATCTTCATGGTGGTAGCTCTCATTGACTGCGTCCTAGCCTGGCCAGTCGTTCCCAGCGGTATCTGTCATCTGGCTAATCAAAGGTGATATCGCGTCATTCGGGAGCTTGTTGGAAAGGCAGGGTCTCAGATCCCAGCCAGCCTTAAGGAATCAAAATCCCAGCAAGACCCTCGGGTGGTTCCGTGTATGCTAACATTTACCAAGCTCCGCTTTTAATTCTTTTAAGAGTCCTGATGGGTAATGGTTACGGGTCAGGTAATGACCTTGCTAATGACAAGGTCAATCTTCTGGGGACAGGAGCCCTGGTGGGGCTGTCAGGAAGCATTGGGCCACTGGCCATAAAGATGGCGGTTCAAACTGACCAGCTGTCTACTCCTGAAACACAGGAGGCTCCCTAGGAGTTGGAATCTTGTCGATGGCAGCGAGTCTTTTGGGGGAAGCCAAGTGAAAGGGTGAGGGGGGCAGAAGGTGACCGCCAGGGCAGGCCGACAGGGAGCACAGATGGTCGCAGGCCCTGTGGAGGAAGGTTCCCCTTGGAGGGGGCAGGGGCCTCAGAGAGGGAAGCACAGAAACCTAGCGGCAAGTCAAGGGCCAGCAGAATTGCCCGGCCTCCTGTCTATGGGGGATTCCAAGGTCCCGTGATTAGTCCCAGTCAGTGACGCAGTCATTTGGGTTCTAGGGGGGGATTAGCTCTCTTGTCGCCTGCACTTAGAACCAACCATGGGGGGGGGGGAGGCAGGGCCTCAGGAGAGGTACCAGCTATCCCTCGTACCCCAGATCCTGCCTCAGAGGGACAACTTCACAGTGTAGAACGAGCTTGTCATCCATGGGCTGGTCTGCTCCTTACACAAACTCGGAGCGCACCACAAGCCCTGTTTTACAGCAGAGGAAAGAGAAGCGCAGAGAGACCAATGCTTTTCCTGACGTGACACAGCTCTTGGGCAGGCTGAGTTGAGGTGCTGGGACTGAAAGCCCAGGTGAGTGTTGCTGCCCCTGATGGGGAAGGGGGTGACATCAGAGGCTTAGGATGCTCTCACTTAGCGTCACCCCATTCTGCACAACGTTGTTCCATGCTCATAAGTACCCTCTGCAACTAAGGTCAAGGAGCCTTGGTGGCTTGCTGGTGGCTGCTCAGCAGCTCACCAAAAGTTAGGGGTTTGAACCCACCCAGAAGCTTCAAAGGAGGAGAGACCAGGCGGTCTGCTCCCGTAAACATTCTAGAACAGGAGACCATCTGGGCAAGTGCGGCTGTCACACGGTGCCTCTCTTGAGTCCCAGTCAACTTGATGATGCCCAATACCAGTGACAACAGCGCCGAAGGGGGGGGGGGGGGCGCTATGGACCCGGGGGAAATGCCACCATCCACAAGGATGCCCACAGCAGGCATCTTCCTCAATGGCCATCAGTCAGCTGGCACGCTTGGCTTATCGAGCCGCCTTATTGTGCGTCCGTAGGACTTGTCCTACCCAACTTGCTTCCGTAGGCAGGGCGGTTCACAGGAAGTGAGAGCAGAGCCGTGTCAGTACAGTGTGGAGGTGGTGGGGGTTCACGAGCCAGGCTCCCAGACGTGGGTGTCTCATGTCGCCAAGTCACCGTGACTGCATGTGGCCAGCCGGGGGCGGGGGGACTCCCCACTGCCCACGACCCCTCCGCCTCTGAGCTCACAGGGGTCACAGGTTCTGTCTGGGAGGGGCGTGCTGCTGAGTTCTCTGTGCCATGAGCCCAGTCGCCCATCTCTGACGCGGCTGCATTTGGGCAAAGCCTCTAACTGCCTTTCCTCCTGCACCTCCCGATAAAGCTATCCACCCGCTCCTGGCCCTCTCTGTCGGCAGCCTCAGCCCTCCCCTTGCCTTTCTCCCTTTTTACAGCCCTAGAGTGACTGTATTCCTAAGATTTTTTTTTTTTAATCAGCCCATCACTGTCCCTGGGCTGGTATTATGGGAGCTGCCTGGGCTGTAAGTGGGCTGCCGGAAACGTGTGGTTCTCCCCAAGTCCTGTCAATTTCATAGAATGTGAGGATTCTACAGACTTGAGGGTCATTTTATGCAGAAATGCTGGTAGAGTGGAAGTTATACCATAGCTCCTGATAGCTCTGTGTGTATTAAAGTTGCAAGATATGCGTTTAGTATATTTTATTGAACATGAAATAGGTTGTGATTAAAAACTGAGGATTCCGTTTAACAATCACTGTGGTCATTTATCAGGGGCTTCCGCACGCCTGGAAGGAGCAGTGGTTACAGCTGTCAGCTGCTCGCTGGAAGGTGGGCAGTTTGAATTGGCTCAGCCTGCAGGGGAGAAAGAGGTGGCAGCTTCCTTCAAGATTAAGGTGACCAGATTTAAAGCAGGACACCATTGACCGGCGGGGAAGGGGGGTTTCTTGATAAAAAAATTTGGTCTATATGGATCAAATAGACTGGTCCCTAGCTTGTCGTGTATTCTTTCCAAAAATTGGGACTGTCCCACCAAAAGCGGGACGTCTGGTCACCTTATTCAAGATGCCAGTCTGGGCAACACTAGGCGCCGTGTACTCTCTGTCTGAGAGCGGCGCAGTGAAATTCCACTCGACAGATGGCAATTTTTGGGGGGTGGGAGGGTACATACCTGGTTCTATGCACAGTCTCAACCCTAAAACCCAGGGCCATCAGGTTGACTCCAAAACACAGTGATCCTTCAGAGGGTTTCCAGGAAAGTAAATCTTTAGGGATGCAGACAGCCTCACCTTTCTCCCATGTGCTAAGCACCAGCGATACATAAACAAGACCCTGTCCTGATCCATCTAGGCATTTGGAGATCCTGAGTCTGGCCCTGGTTCTCTTTGTCTCCCTTAGAGCGACTCCCACTAATGTAGCATATTCCAGTCCATTCCGTTCTCCCCTTGGAAAATGTCTGGAGGCCGAGGAATAAATTTTGGGTCTGGTAAATCAGAGTTTGTGTCCTGGTGTGGGCCTACGAGGAAGGCGTTCCAGGGTCTGGCTGGAGCTGGTCCAGAGGGGAGCCTGGAGGACGTTTGAGCTGAAACAAGTTGGAGGAGTGGTGTACAAGTCATAGTCTGGGAATGCGAGAAGGTACCAGGCAGGGAGCGGATGTCCAGGTGCCTGGGGGCGAAGACCAGACTCCTCATGTCCCAGGCTCCTGTCTACTAGCTGGTGAGGCCCCACCACCCCGGCTCACTCCTCCCAGCTGCCCCTGCCTGCGGGTTTCCAGGTGTCCGGGCCAGTATCTCTGTTTCTTGTATCTACTGGCTGTGGGTAGCCACATGACTGTGCCCGATGGGTCCCTCTCCCTGGAACGCTCTGTCAT